TGGGGATTGCACCTAATTTCGTTGTACTTGTTACAATGACAATAAAGTTATTCTGATTCTTCTGATTCTGATATCCACCCATGATTTTTGGTTAGCAAAGGTCTTTTTTGTTGCCGTGGGGATTATATCATTAGCCAGCAAAAAGAGATGAAAGGGATGACTGGAGAGAGAGAGAGAGAGAGGGAGGAGGACGTGGTCGAAGAGGCCATGCAAGGACTATTATTTCTGATGACATTAGAGCAACTTTGGTGGACCATGTCATCAACCATGGCCTGACTATGAGGGAAGCTGGGCAGAGAGTCCACCCTAATCTAAGCCGTTTCACAGTTGCTTCCATAATAAGGACATTCTGACTGGAAAACAGGTATGTCTTCAACTCTACTCAGACTGTATCTAGAGTATTTACAGTACTGTACCATATCACATTGCCATATCACATGTACTGTATTGCAGGGTGGCTAATGCTCCTTTTCAAACTAAAGTGGTAGTTTTGTGAAACATACTGTGATAACTGTGTATGGTATATACAGCAAAGTACAGTATCTACAGTACTGTGAAAAAGAAGCAAACCAATAATTTATCGTTGCATTTTTCTACAGAATGGCTAGAAGACCTACTGGGGGTGGATGCCAACGCCTGTTCGCCCAACAGCAGGAACTTGCCATTGTGAACCTAGTCCGAGCAAATAATGCTATCTGTCTCCACCAGTTACGGCAACACATACTTGAAGATAGGGAAGTATTCAACAACATAAATCGAGTAAGCATTACAACTATCAGACGCATCTTGGTAAAGCACAACATGACCATGAAGCAATTGTACCGGGTCCCATTTGAGAGGAACAGTGTCAAGGTCAAAGGACTTCGACATGAATATGTACAGGTAAGTGTTACAGTCCTTTACATTTACTGTACAATACAGAATGGGTGCAATCCAGTAACAGCTGAATATGTACCATTGGATCAGTACCACATAGATATGTTCAGAAAGCTACACAGGTACCTTTGTGGTGAAGTGGTTCTGTATGTGTAGTAGTGTAGTTGTGTTTTGAGTACTGCCATCCACAATATGTATTTTTTGTTGCAGAGAATCTTGGACATGGATGGAGCTGCTCAGCCTCATGAATATATTTACATTGACGAGGCTGGATTCAACCTTAGCAGAAATAGACGACGGGGACGTAATATAATTGGCCACAGGGCGATTGTGCACGTCCCGGGGCAACGCGGGGGAAATATCACCTTGTGTGCTGCCATAAGCCTTCGAGGGCTACTGCATCATCATTCCAAACTCGGTCCCTATAATGCGCAAGACATACTCGCATTTCTAGGTGCACTTCATGATGCAGTTGTACAGGACAGACCAGAGCAGCCCAGGTTTGTTGTTGTCTGGGACAATGTTAGTTTCCATTGGGCTGCTGTCGTCCGGAACTGGTTCACCAACCATGACCAATTTGAGGTTGTGTATTTGCCCCCTTACTCGCCATTTCTCAACCCTATTGAAGAGTTTTTTTCCGCTTGGAGGTGGCGTGTATATGACCGCCAACCACATGCCCGCATGCCTCTTCTGCAGGCAATGGAACAGGCCTGCGGAGACATTGAGGTAAGGTCAATCCATGGATGGATTCGGCACACAAGGGGATATTTTCCCCGATGCTTAGTGAGAGAAGACATTGCTTGCGATGTTGATGAGATCCTGTGGCCAGACCCCAACAGACGGCAGGATCCATAAAGCCCACTTTATGCACAATTGTGTTTTTCTGTTTCCAGTAGTGTATTTTTTTTTTTTTGCTTTAACTAAATTAACTGTACAGTAAAGTACACTACTGTCATGTAGGGTGTTGAGTGTCATTTTTTGGTTGTTGTGAAAATGTGCTTACTGTAGAACCGAATAAAAACAGTGCAAACAAAAACCTGTAGTGTTTTATGTAAAGTAGACTAGCGTGTTGTTGCTGATCTGACAGTGTATTCTTATGATGCAAGTGGGTATCATTTTGTCCTTAGAGTGACATTTTGACAAAAGATTGTTAGGTTTTGATGGCGGAGTTTCAATTTGACATAGATGTGAATGGTTTATTTCCCAGTGCTGTGTCTTATTTGCTTGTGTGTAGAGTTTTGACACGATGAGCCAAGTTTTGCAAAACGTGTTCAAGCAACGGGCAAAAACTGTATAAGGTATACCAAAATAATGTAACGTAAGGTATGTAACCAAAATAATGTAACACCCACTCTGTATATATACAGTACTTCAAAGTATCTATGTATATTGTATATACAGTAGGCTAATACTATACAGTAAAAATGAAACATGTATTCTATATTTACAGTATTCATGAATGTGTTCTTTACTTGTACAATACTACTGCATAATCTTCATTATAAACAAGAGAGGCTACATACCAATATATACATTGTTGTCTTCTCTAAGGACTGAGAGACAAGTAGGACGTGGTGGAAGAGGTCGGATGTTCACAGAGGCACAGGAGCTAGAGATCATAAACATGGTTTTGGCAAATAATGCCATAAGACTTAGGGAAATTCAAAGCCACATTGTGAGAGACGACACTGTTTTTGGCAACATTAGGCAAGTTGCCTTGTCTACCCTCGCTCGTGTTCTCCAGCGACACCAGGTACGAATGAAACAGATATACCGGGTGCCTTTTGAGAGGAACTCCGAAAGAGTCAAAGAACTGAGGCACAATTACGTGCAGGTAACTATTAGACTACAGGACACTACATATAATGCTGCATTTCTCCAGTACTAAACATAAACCTAAACCACTGCTAATGTAATCTTTTTTGTTTTCAGACAGTGCTGGAAATGGATTCAAATGTGATCCCACATGAGTTCATTTTTATAGATGAGGCTGGCTTCAACCTTACCAGAACCAGAAGAAGGGGAAGAAACATAATAGGTCACAGAGCTATTGTGAATGTTCCTGGCGTATGTGGGGGAAACATTACCATGTGTGCTGCCATCACAGGGCATGGAGTTCTACGCCACCATGCCATTCTTGGTCCATACAACACAGGGTTGATCCTGACATTTCCGGACAGACTGCGAGACATCGTACAACAGGCAAACCACACAGATGATGAAGGGCAGCAGCACAGATATGTTGTAGTGTGGGACAATGTGGCTTTTCATGGTGCAAAATTGGTTTGCCAACAGCCCACATTTTTCAATGGTTTACCTTCCCCCTTATTCTCCATTTCTGAACCCAATTGAGATGGATAAGACACTCCTGACGCTTCTTTCCTCGCTGTCTAGCAAGGGAAGATGTCACATGTGAAGTGGATGAGGTGCTGTGGCCAGATCCACTGAGACGACATGACGCTGCATAATCTTGTTTCATTGTTCATTTGTTTTTTCACTTGCACGTTTCTCATTCTGTTTTCAAAGGTTTAGAATTTGTTGAATTGTACAGTAATATGGATTTTGTTTGTTTCTCTGTTGCAAATTGTAGCTGAATAAATGATTTGTTTGAACCTAATTTATTTCTGCACACATGTCTCTGTGTCCAATTCTCAGCATTTGCAGTTCTGACAGTCCCTAAAGAGATAAAAGTGTTTTGGATTTGGTTGGTTGGAGGAAAGATTTAGGCATGGGGAAGAAATGTTTACTATTTGGGGCAAAAGTTTGGTTTTGATAAGTGTTTATAAAGTTTTGACTGCAGAGCTTCATTTTGCAGGATATGTGTGGTGTTTTGTGAATTGTAAATGATTTGTAAAAATGAGCCTTGTTGTCAAAATTGTGCCTTAGCAATTGGAAAAAACTGTAAATACGGACAGAGGGTTTGCAAGTTCTCCAAGTGTTGTGACACATGTCAAGGCTTAATTTACTTTTATTGCTACAGAACAGCCGTAAGTTGCTAAGTCCCCTGAAAAAAGGCAGTTTTGTAATACTCTGATATTTACATTGTTTTCTTTTGTTTTTAATAATCTAAACCGATTTTAGCACATGAAACAAAAACTCTGACGGTTTACTGCTTATCTCATCATTTCAGATCATTCACTGAATTTAAACTGATTTATATCTGGACGAAAGCTGGAAAAAACTGAGGTGTTATAAAACTTTTTACCGGTAGTTTGTGTGTGTGTGTGTGTGTGTGTGTGTATGTGTTTGCTGTAACTGGGCGCCATGTGTCTGCGTGTGCTCTAACTGGATTAGATGTGTGTCTGAAGGAACAGAAAAGTGTGTGTATGTGTGTTTGTGAAGGAACATAAATGTCTGTGAGTGTCTGTCTTCCTCAATGGAAAGAGGTATGTGTCACTGTAAGGGGACAGAACTGAGGTCGACAGTCACCTCAGTGCCGCTGTAGGCTGCATGTGCCAAGTTTCACTGTCTCAATTCACACCTTGTTTTTTGTTATAAGTAAAAAGTGTTCTGTTTCGTTTTAAACAATTTAATCACATGTTTTGACATTAATTTACACAGTGAGGAGTGTAGTTCATTTTTAATGATCCTTTCCCTGTTAATAGGGGTGGTAGAGACGGTGGCCATTCCCTAATTAGCTTGTTGCTTTTCAGGTATGGCAGTTTGCTGGTTTAGTTAGGAGAATTTTATTCCTGTTTGTCATTTAATCTAACATGTGTTACTAATGTGATTTTTTTGTATGTTTCCAACTCTACAAATGTTTTTTTTTTACTCTGTCAGTTATGCCTTCTGTTAAATGGTTATTATATATGTTGATTTAGTCCAATTATGTTATGCTAGTTATATTCAGTTATAAGTAGTAAAGTGATTTTAATTTAATTTACCGGAGAATGCGGTTTAATTGTTATTAGTTTTGCTTTGGGCACCGCTGAACTGACATTAATAGGACAGAATAGAAAGCCTTTTTTTCATTATACAGGTAGGAAATACAATATATAGACATAAATATATAAAATATACATATACAGAGGAAGGGAAAAAGCCCCCTCCCCCCCACTCATCAAGCTCACATTTTATTACATTTTAATCAGAGAGAAAAACTGTTACTTTGCTTGTTTGTTCAGCTGACCCATCCTTGTCATTTATTTTTGTCAGACATACATTTGAGAGTAAAATGAATAATACAGGGTAAAAAGACATTTACCTTGGAGAACCAGTAACATGTCACATGTGATACAGTAAAAATTATTCCTCAAGCACGCAGTAAGCTATCCCAGCATGCACAGCGACACTGAGGAGTTAAAATGAACCCCAAACCCTGGACAGAGGGGTTCAGTGAATGAGGAGGTGACCTTGCGCAGGAGGGTCAGTCCATCAGAGGAGACTCTGTAGAAGGACAGAGCACCAGCCCCCCAGTTCAGATACACTCCTACTCTGCGGGAGCCTGAGGGCTTTATGGGTATGACAGTCCGTTTATTATTGTGCTGGACAGAGTAACTGTCAGGACCACAGCGCAGAATCCAGGACTTGTCATTGCGTCCCAACCGAGAGTCGACACTTAATCCTTTCCTCCTGATTCCTTTATAAGTCATTCCTATCCAGGCTCCATCTCCACTCCACTCAGCCTCCCAGTAACAGCGACCAGTCAGACTCTCTCTGCACAGAACTTGTTCCCACCAGTCAAATCTCCCTGGATGATCAGGATATGGCTGTCGCTCTGCTCCCCGCGTCGCCTTCCTGTTCCCTTCTGACAGAGAGAGTTCTCTGTGTGCTGTGTTGGGGTCCAGTGTCAGCTGGCAGGAGTCTGTAGGCAGGAGAAATACCCATTAATACCATCTGGCAGAGCAGCATTTTAGCGTGTACTTAATTTTTCTGTACAATTTAGCCAAATGTGGCCTAATGTTTTGAAAATGAAGCAAATATTGATTTTCACAAAGTCTGCTGCCTCAGTTTTTATGATGGCAATTTGCATATACTCCAGAATGTTATGAAGAATGATCAGATGAATTGCAAATAATTGCAAAGTACCTCTTGTAATTATACTTCAGTATACCATAGAAAATATCTGATAAAAATGTCTACAAACACTGAAGAAGCAGAACTTTGTGAAAACCAATATGTCATTCTCAAAACCTTTGGCCAGAGCTGTATGTGAAATTGCTCAGGAAACGTCGGCCGCTGGTGGGAAGAGCTGGCAAAGTGCAGCACGCGCTAAACTAACAGGCTTATTTATAAGTAAATGAAATTACAAAGCAAGGACATTCATCAGACATATTCACCACAAACATATTTATTAACATTGAATTAATAGTGTTTTTACCACAAAATTCGACACCTAAGATTAATAGCAAAAACGAGCGTCTTAAAAATATGAACTTCTTTCAGACCACTTTGGATCCGAACCTCCTCACATCAGCGTTAACCGCAGACTGAAGAGAGAGAGTCCGGTATCACCGTCGGTTTGGGGAAGACTACGGGTGCCGTCTTAGGACAATACTAACAAATCTCAAAAAGAAAACGCGTACACTCAGCGAATGCACAAAAAGAACAAATGTGAAGGATGCACAACTATATCATAATGTGTTTTAGCCCTGTTACATTCTCACACAGAGACAATATGAGCAGCTATGAAATGGTGTGGGACGGAGTGGTGGCTCTGAGGCTAGGGATCTGTGCCAGCAATTGGATAGGCTGCTGGTTTGAATCCTGGGAATGCCAGCAGTGATCCTACTCCATACGGCCCCCTGAGCAAGGCCCTTAACCTGCAATTGTTTTGTCCTGGGTATGATGTTAAATTACATCCAGCCCTACAAGCAGGTCCTCCAACTTTCAGGGAAAACTTTGGGGTTAGTGGATGGATTGTCACTCCAGCCACCAGAAAAAAACACTTCACACTGTTCCATTCCATTCGGACTAGTGTGGTGCTGAGGTATCACCTGCTACATGGCTGCATTCAGGTTCTCATCCCTGAGGTGGCTTGTCGTGTGGTGAGAGAGGCAATGTGCTGTATCAGCATGTGCTCCTTACCCCTCCCTCTCTGTTTTATTTAAGAAATCAGTCATGTATAAACCTAAAACCAACAGTTTTTTAAAAAAAAAAACTGATACATTAATTAATAGTGTTCTTGGTGATGTCTGTTTTATTTTTCTCATTTGGATGTTGTCTAAAATGACACATATACAGAAACTCACCTAAACACAAACATAAAAAACACACTCATCACAACAACTATGCGAACACATTCATAAAGTAGTATCAATTGTATTATTAATAAAAACATGCAAACTTACATTTCTGTAAGCCTGGTCTGGTCCTGCACTCTCCGCTGTGGTCCACACTATAGGAGAAGCAGAATGACATAGTACTGCTGTATCCATTTATTTATTGGTGCCTCTTCTTCACACTTATTATGCACTTCCTATACACTCTCTACTCACTGCACTTTCTCCAGTTTACAGCTGGGATCCTCCAGTACAGCAGAGAGCAGATTCACTCCTGAGTCTCCTGGGTGATTGTAGCTCAGATCCAGCTCTCTCAGGTGTGAGGGGTTTGACCTCAGAGCTGAAGCCAGGGAAGAACAGCCTTCTTCTGTGACTCTGCAGCCTGACAGCCTGCAGAGAAATGGACAAAAACACTCTGATAAATAAGATCATCTCACCAATACAAGTGTTGCTTTTAAGCAAATGTGACTACTTTCATACTGTGTGACTCCTTTAAATAATTACAGTTAACAGTGTGCATAATGACCTCAGTATCTCCAGTTTACAGTGTGGAATACCCAGTAATACTGACCTCAGTATCTCCAGTTTACAGTGTGAATCCCTCAGTCCAGTAGAGAGCAGGTTCACACCTGAATCCTGCAGGTCATTGTCACTCAGGTCCAGCTCTCTAAGTTGTGAGGATTTTGATCTGAGAGCTGAAGCCAGCACCTCACAGCATTTATCTGTGAGATCACACCGGTCCACCCTTAGGGGAATGAAACACTTCTAAACCAACGTTTTGCATTTGGTGCACTGTACAGTATATCACGTTAAAGTGAGTCATCACAGAAGATATTTTTTTAAAGCAGTGAATTTATTGTACAGTATACCGTATAAAAAGCATATTAACAATCACCCAGGTTTTGATTGCTGTCCATTGTATTTTAATCTGTAACTTTTGTTAAACTCAACATATTTAAGTTCTAAATTGCAACCTAACTGTCACTTTTCTTTGTCTATTTGCTCCGTTAACCAACACAAATCATGTGCTAAGAATGATTGGTTTCCTGCTTTACTGCTTATGCATCACTGGAACAACATTAAGACAAAACAGCCCCCATCCCTGTCCCAGAAGCATCCACCTCAACAATGAACTGTCTTGAGGGGTCAGGGAGCTGCAAATGGGGTGTCGGGGTAAACCGAGTCCACAGGTGAATGAAAGCTACTTCATCCTCAGGGGTCCAGTGAAAAGGCAGCTTGAAAGATGTGAGAGCGGTCAAGGGGGCAGCAACCACACTGCACCCTTTGATAAACCAGCGACAGATCCAACAAACCCCAGAAACTGTTGTAAGTCCTTCTGGGAGCCGGGTTGTGGCCACTCATACACACAGCACCTTGTGGGGAGGGCCTTTTGGGGTATAAAGGGGGGTAACTGCCCTTAATTTGTATTTGAGCTGCCTTTCAGTACCCGATGTATGTCGATACTGTATTTCATTATATTATTTTTACTGTTCAATAAACCACCGTTTTGCTGAAACTACGGAGACTCTGCAAGTGGATCCCTTACAGCACACCAGTCCGCATCTCGATGATTGACTATGTGGTTGTAATTGATGGGACTGGTACTTTGTCACTTTCAATATCTGTTCTTAAATGTTTCATGTTCTTTTTATTCTATGTTTTATTTTCATATTTTTTCCTACGTTTTTGATTTTTTTTTTTACTTTACGCACTTTATTTCTTATCATATTTCCTGGAAAGCACTTTGAATGACCTTGGTGTATTTGCTACAGAAATAGACTTGACTTGAACTGATATAAAATGTTCATTCTTTACTTACTTGAGCTTCTCCAGTTTACAGCTGGGATCCTCCAGTACAGCAGAGAGCAGCTTCACTCCTGAGTCTCCTGGGTGATTGTAGCTCAAATCCAGCATTCTGAGGTTTGACTTCAGAGCTGAAGCCAGGGAAGAACAGCCTCTCTCAGTGACTCTACAGCCTGACAGCCTGTTGAAAGGAAACCACAAATTATTGTACAAAATATAGGAGGCAGCGACCTGTCAAAGTGCCTGTGCTGATGTGCCAAAAGCCATGATCTCACTGACACCAGAGAACGGCCTCCCCAGACGACCTTCATGACCTCCCCCTTTTTCACCATCCCTCTTCTCCCTGTTCCTGATAAAAAGCTGCCATTCGGGGGCAATATTCTGCACTCTGGTTTGCCCGTGTGCCTTTGTTCCTGTGGCTGCCACACACTATTCACTGAAGCTCACCTTTTCACCTCATTGACTTTATATTAACTGACATAAATGATCACGCTGTAGAGCTGGGCGATATGGCCAAAAATGTTATGACGATAAAATAAATTCGGCTGATATCGATAATTATCGCAATAAATATCAAGTCATTAAGTTTCAAGTCCCCAGTTTAAAGCCAAATTTTTACTCCTAACATAAAATTGAAGAAACCAGATCGCTAATTGTAGTTATAACCTTTTCTTTATCGTCAGAATGTGACAAACACTTGCCAAACCTTACTGATGGCCAAAATGATGCTTCCGGAACCCTGTGCTCTATTTTCTGACCCCACTAGACGGGGCTTTTTGTTCAAAAACAAAACCAAAAGTGCCATGTGGCCTCAATAATATTGCAAATGGTTCATGAAGCCTCGTTCTGTCCATCACTACCAAGAATCATTTTGCATTTCACGAGTCTGAGGTAGAAGAAGAACAGGTTATTTTAGTCACCGCTGCAAAACCTCCACCTCTGCTATTCTTCCTGTTTCTTAATTCATTAAGAAATTAATTAATTAACTAACTATCCAACAAACTAATTAATTAAGTGTTTAATTATTTTGCATTATAATAAAAGGGGAGGCGATGTCAAATTTGCAATTTAATACACACGCATTTACTCTGTCCGTTATTTTTTGCCAAGCCAACTCTTTCTTTAGCCGATGCAGCCGTATTGCTTTTTTTCATTATTATTGGCTTGAATTCCTCATATGCGTGCATTAAAACTTCCAACTCCGCCTCTGTGAAGTATGCCGCTCTCTTTTTTTCACTTTGATTTTCCATTCTGACTCGTGAAATCGGCGATCAATTGAAAACGTCTTTATGTATGCACGGTGCACTCGCATTAACTCTGGGTAAGCAATAGGAGGTTGATTGAACTTACTCTTCTCAGGTGTTTTGGAACCGACATACTCATCGTATGCGGGTTTGGGGTATATCAACCCAGAGGTTAAGATTTACCAAATGGTAAGTTAACCAAGCTTTCTGGAATACCCCCCAGAGGTGTTGCCATGAGGCGAAGTTCTGACGGTAGCCCCAAATGTACCGTCAAAAGCTGTCTGACAAACCAGAAATCCTGAGTTGTGTGGACTATTTCTTGTTGGTTCGTAACGCACGTAGCAAAAAGCAAGTGTTGATATATCATTTAAAGTTTTACTGTTTCTCATCTGTAAAGCACAGAATATTAATTTGTAAAATGTAACACGGTTTCTTTCAGTATAAACAAAGTTGACCTGATTAAAAAAAATATTTTCACACCGTTATGGTGTAATTTTAACTGTATTGTACTGGTTTTTATATTACAGTTTGTTTGCGTTTAAACTACAGTAATTTGTTAACTCTACCAAAAAAATTTTTTTAAAAAACATATTTTTACTGAAAAATTAACAGTTGTTTTTTGTTAAGTAGGCCTATTTTACAAAATCTTAATGTCAAATATACGCTGCTCTATTGTTTTTCCTTTTACAGTTTTTTATGTCGCTATTTTACAGAATTTCTCAGTTAATTTCACGGACATTTTTTACAGTGTACGAAAAACCACCCTAGTTTTCTCGTCTTCGATATCCAGGTCATTAGCTGCAAAGTACTGTTCCAGCCTCTGACAATAACTATCAAAACTTTCCTCACTTTCCTCGAAATGAAAGTCTTCTGGCTTCCAAATGCCATGCTCCCTTCGACGGTCCTTTCACTCACAGAAGGTTTTGCTAGTTCTTTCCGGTTTTCACTTCTTCTACCTCACTGGAGCAGCTTGACATGCTAACTTTGTCTTCCAACTTAAACATCCCATCCTCGTTGCCAAAATTGTTGTAAATCACTCTTAAATAATTCGGAACTGTTTAAGCACGTAACTGGAACAAACACACGGTAGACTTAAGTAACCGGCAAAAGTATTTTTCAGTCTGAGAGTACACACTACGCACTTTTCTTTTGTTTCACCACACCACCGACGCCCCGGAGGACCCCCAATGGCCAAAACTGAAATAACATTATTCTTTCCCCTTTTTTCTTTTTTTTTTTTGTGTTAGGAACACCACAGTATTCATAATTTAAGTTAAGAGCATCAGCTGCATTCATTAGTTTGATTTAAATGACTTGAGTAACAATAACTTAAATGCATCCTCCTTATGTAAATGCTACTATTTAACTTTTATTTACTCAGTTTTCTTCTTTTAAGATTTATTATTACATTCTAGTTGCAACAACTTTTAACCTAGTTGTGGCTACTCAGTTCATTTAAGGAAACTCATTGCCTTGAACCTTACACAGCAAATGTGCCAGTGTTAAATGAACACTGCATGGTGTTTAAATGGGTCACATTGAATGTTACCTTTAACACTTTACAGTGTGCAGGGAGTCTTGTTTTTACAGTGTTAATCTTTATTAACTCTAATAGTGTTCAATTTACACCATAGGGTGTAGTCAATGTCTCCACCTCCACACATCTGCCCCATTTTAATATGCGCACAAGACGTCATGAGGGTCAGAAGAGCCATCCCAGATTTACCCACCATCATGAGAAAGACTCTGACCAAAAATGACCTTATAGCTTTTTCTTGTTTTGTATTGAAGTTTTACTGGCTTGGTTCTGACTGATCTTGAAGATTAGAGAGACTGGTGGTTTTATAGGATGATGATCTCAAGTCAGGAAAAAAAAATCTTTTGAAGATGTACAGTACAAGATTCATCCCCAGTGTGGTTTATATTTTAATGGTGTGGGGTGTATTTGACTGTCAGTCCTGCCCTAGGAATATGAACATATGTGGAAAAGTGTTAGGACAGTTGTGATACTCTTTTCTGTGCAGCTCCTGGTACCACCCACTCTTCTGTAGGCCAATGGTGCCGGATGTATATTTGCATAGCATGACATAATGTTTTTGACTTGACAGTTTGTTTTTTAATCCACTGCGATTGCTATGAATAGGGCAAGAGAACAAAAACCACAGAAATGACTCTTGCATGCTAGCCAGTGACTAGGTGAGATGGTTTACTCTCTATGGTTTAACTAGAGAAGGTGCTGGCTGGGAAAAAAATGCTATGGAAAACCAACCATTTAGTGTCTCTTTTCAGCTCAGTGTACACTCTTTAGAAAAAGTATCAAGACCATATGTACTTCCACAACTGTGAAGATTTCCTTAGGAAGGCGCATACATAAGAACTACATACATAACCTAACTAACATACATAAAACCAGATGAACTAATAGTGAAACATGGTAAAGACTAATATCAGTGCCATACCAGCCTCGCTCGTGGTGGGTTTCAAAAATTAAGCTGAGTATTAAATAAGCAGGGATTTGATTTGTTCTCCTATCCCAAGTTGTGGTCTAAAAGCAATAAGACCACCACCCATTATATCTGTTTTAGCTGAAATACACTGATTCAACCTTTAAGATAGCTCTCACCTTTTTTCAGCCCTGCTAAATAATTATGTTATGCAGTCTAACACAATGGAGCTTCATAATCCGTGTTTGATGACTGGTGCGATACTCTTCACTCACTTTAATACCACGGCCGGTTCTCAGGAGAGCTTGACCGGTTCTTTCTTACCCTGATTGAAGAAACCTATCACATTCACGCTTCAATAAATACATTCATAACAACAGTTTTTCAATGTTCTTTAATTTACATAAGCAAAGTTCTTTGGTTATCAAAAGCCAAGCTGAAACAAAACTTGCATAAAAAGAAAAAAGGCTATGTCGGTCTGAGTCTTTCTTATTACGGTGGGTTAGTAAAACATAGCCGCTGAATGCCCAAATGAGTTCAAATGAGAGTACATTAAAATGGGGCAGATATGGGCCACCCATTTTGTACTTGTGTGCCACCAATATGGGCTTGCAAGTTGGGAAGAGGTGGAGACACATTGTCCTAACACTCTAGGTTGTAAATTGAACACTATAAGAGTTAATAAACATTAACACTGTAAAAACAACACTCACTGCACACTGTAAAGTGGTAAAGGTAACACTGAATGGTGTGGACCCATATAAACACCATACAGTGTTAATTTAACACTGGCATATTTGCTGTGCAGAACGTGCGCCTTTTATTTAGAACATGCCCCAGTAAAATGGGTCTGGCCACGCCGATGATCCAGCATGACTTTATATCAGACCGAAGTGTCTGATTTTTTGCACAGTTTTTCACAACATTGCAGTTTGTTTTCCCACACACAGGCTCCGCCCACGTCGCACAATGTCCACGCCGACTGTATGTTGATTAATTATCTGTGGGTTGACTAATCAGTTAAACGATCACAGACAAGACTGTTAAATTAATATAATTTTAAATGAACATAATTATTTGGACTGATTCATTGTTTTTGTAGTGATCATAAAGTCAACTCAGAGGAAATGAATTACTGCAACAAACTGGAATTATATCACCCCAACTTAAAAATCTAAGTACACTCAAAAGAACTGAGTTACTACTCCAACAATTAATTTTTGAGTTAAGTCAAATTAGTGGAAATGAGTGAATCCAACTTTTAGGCAAAATTAAGTTATATTAACTATTATTAAGAAGTACTGGTATAGGTTTTACAGTGTACACAAAGAACATTCCTCTGGATTCTCTGGCTTCCCTCCCCCCATCACCCAAAAACATTTTACAGTGAAGTAGAGTTGCTAAATTGTACATAGGTGGGAATGTGTGTGGGAATGGTGTGTGTGACTCCCCATCCTGGGTTACTCCCTGCTTTGTGGGATATGCTCCGGACTTCTGTGACCCTGCATAGGACATGCAGGTATAGAAGATTGATGTGAGACATGATGTTTCTCACATCCATCGTTCCAATAACCTGTACTTTAGGGGTCTTAAAGTACTGGCTCCATCTGGCCTGCAACAGGATTTTTAATCACCATTATATCTGCCCCATAGAACAACACACAACCATTTCAATGCTGCCTGTTTAGTAGATTATCTGTATTTTTTTTCTTAAACAAACTTAAATGGGCTGCCTGAGATGAAAATCACCACATCTGTGCCCCCATGTTTTTTGAGTTTGAGACGCCTGCTGAAGTGTATTAGCAGCAAGAAGATGAATGACATCATGTGTCTTCTTCCAGTATCGCACTTACCAGGTGAGGGCAGGCCGAGGTGGACAGCCTATGGCATTCCTACTGTGTGACACCATGGGACTGGAAGCAAGGCAGGATGAAGGGGTGAAAACTGAAGATATAGTGAGCATCCTGAAGGGCTACGTACCAGACAAGTACCAGGTAAGAACTGTGTATCTAACCAGGCCTCAAAAACAACAGTTATATGAATACATGCAGGTCTGATCCCTCTAATGACTTACACATGTTTATAATTACTGGTGTTTTTCTCCCTACACTCTCTTTGGAAGAAATTTAATCTCATTCACTGATTTGTTCTTAGGTTAAATAATGTCACATGAATGGGCTTAGATTGCATTTTGCTTGAGTTTCATGATCTTAAAGTTAGTGAATGTTTTTATGTGTCATTAACAGCTTCTTGTCTGTTTAGTTCAACCCTGTGCAGGCAAAGGTTACTGATGGCTGTCAGACGGGCAGCCAATTGCCACATCAGGACAGGATCCACTGTGTGGTGTGTGTGATTGACAGCTCAACATTAGGAATTATGCCTGGAGATACGAAGAAGAAAGTTGATGAAATTCGAAAGAAAACTAGGTTACAAGGTTAGTGAGTGGGGAGGAATGTGGCATCTGTTATTGAATGTGTGTTGTTGGGCAGGGGTACATGAATAATACTGAATAATCATGCAGGAACCTGACAAAGTAAGCTCACCCCTGAGAAGTTGTATTTGGATATTCAGCCACAAAAAAACTAGAGCAGCTTTCTAGAATGGAAAATGGCAAACAATGTTTTCCGGGGCTTTGGCAGAAACAGTATTCATGCTGCAACTGAAGGAGCTCCTGGCTGCTCCTCCACACAGAGCTGCTCCGTCTGTGAGAACCTCAAGGGCTTTCTGTCACTATTACGCTGCTATCTACAACACGTAACAACACCACCGGGTCCCTAAAAGAAAACCAAATCACTACAGTCCATGTCCACCAGTGCTGTGCAATTTATTGTGTTTCTCCCGCTAACATAAACCTACACATATAGGAAATAAAAGTCAAACCATAACTCCAGGGGTAAGCCAGGCCAAAATAACAAACATAATCCCAAAATGTCTCCACCCCAACACACACTCTATACTAACCAAAA